ACTCTTTCCGACCGCTGATAGACCGTTGCTTTTCACATAACGAAAAACTAAGTTTCTAGTCTGCCTTTGAGCGCATTATAAAACCCTAAAACACAGGACTTTTATTATCCTATGAACACAAAACACCAAAATTTCACACACCCGCCACTTCCCAACATTCAAGGCGTCAGAAATACCGAGTTGCCGGGATGGGTATTTTACAAACAACCGCAGCTTACTCTATGACCGGCAAAAATCGGCACACCTGCGGCACACTGACAAAAAAGATGACCCAAGATTGGTGTTTGGAGTGACCTACCCCTTGCATGATTTACACATTTTTATGAATTTGTTTTTTTTAATGTGGTGCTTTTTACTTATAAACATCTACACACTCGCGCAATTCGACAGTCAACATGGTTTAAACGTCTTGTTAACATCTATTTCTGGATATTTATGACCCTCAATTTTCATAAACTGATCGATTTGTTTATACTGGTAAACGGCATTGTAACATGCGTGAGCCGTATTCAGGATATTTTGTAGGTGGCAAACTCTCATTTTTTACGCCCTTCCACCCTGGGGGGAGGTGACTGTCAAATACGAACAATCATCGCCTACCTCGCATAAATGTTTCCAAGCGACAACAAAGCCATAAGCAACGATGGTTTGTTGATGTTTGGAACCAAATTCCCATATGGCAAATCAATGAGCGTAAACAGGTGAGGCCTAGTAAATTTGTGGTCTCTTTTGTTCTCCGGCTGATTAAATGGATGCAGTTAGTTTGACGTCACACTCCTTCAACCGTTTAAACAGCGGGAGAACGAAAGAGATAACAAATTCACTGAGCCTTACATATTTACAACTCTTTGATGGACTTTCAGTATGCCGATTTGACAGCACATCCCGCCCCTGCTGCCACCCTGCTCATGCCGTTGATCACATTTCATAAAGGAAGTGTAAAAGAGAAAGAGATATCGTAACAAATTCTCTCTGTCATACCTGTTTTCTAAGACATGGAGTGGGAGTTATTCCACCAACGACCCGATGAGACAGCTTATTGAAGTTAAATACATTCAAATTCATATCCCTGTTCGTTTGGATTTTCATTGATTTCGTTGAACTTCGATGAAATTCTTCAATTTTTTCTGATGTTCTTAGAACTTTTTTTTAAGTTCTTAGAACGTCTCTGAGTCTCGTGAGTCGTAGAACTTATCAGAAGGACATTGAACTCCCCTGAAGCTCACAAAACGTCCCTGAAGTTGGCAGAATTTTCCTGGAGTTTATAGAGCTTCTCTGAAGATCGAAGCACATCTTTAAAGTTTGAAGAATTTTCCTGAACTGAGATCAATGAACTTCTCTGAAGGTTGTTAAACTTCTCTGATTCTTTTGAGGAAATCCTTAAATCCACTACAGTTCCCTATAGTTAGCAGAATTTCCTAGAAAGTCGCTGAGCCTTCTTGAAAGTTTCCTTAGACAAAATATGGGAACTGCAATGAAGCTCTAGCAATTCTGTAGTAATTAAAGGTGAAGGCTACCTAAACTCACTGGACAAGGGCAGCTAACATCATGTGAGTTTCATTCCTGTATTATCGGCATTATCTGTAAACCGATTTTCAAACAACTTCGTCATGGGTTCCAAAAACCCAAACTAATTTTCCTCCCCTTAGGGTTGTAAATGCCAACTTTGTCACCAGCTGAGTACGGGACACAAATATTTCAGATACCTACTATCTCCTTTATTGCACTGTCCTGCTCGTTTATTTCTCTTTTATTCTTATAAGGGAAGAGAAATTAAACAAGAAGTTGTTCCAGCAGCAAATATTAATTGATTTTGCGCAAAGTCGACGTAATCAATACGGATCTTACTTGAGATTCAAAGAGAACTCTTCAATGCCATTTGGATTAATTCAATCAACGTTTGAAGATGATTTAATTGCATTTGTTCAATTCACAATAGTTTTGTATCGTCAATAGCCCATAAACGCCTTCGTAATTGGCGTTGTAAACTTCCAAACTCTTTTTCTCAAAAAAACCCTAGATGAAATATATTCAAACCTGTATATTCACACCATCCTGTGAAGAAAAAACTGAGGTACAAGTATGTTGTAAAAAAAAGTGCCTTCAGACATAGCGTACGCTGTCCAGAGGCCACCATATTGGATTTTGGTCCACCATCTTGGATTCCAAAATGGCTGCGGATGTCGGTTTCTTACTTTGACTGTAATACCAAGGTATTGATTTTCCATTCGATGATTTTGTTATCTCACAATCAGCTGAGGTTACAATCAGCCGTGATTTTCTGTTAGCGATTTTGCTGATCTCAAGATCAGCAGTGATTTTCGACCGTTCCCGATTTTTGATTTTTTGGATTTTTCCCATCACTGGTCTTGTCAGAATGAATTCGGATTATTGACCGGAATATAGACGCTGGAGACCACGGGATGGTCCACTAGAAGATCCGCAAAATTGTAACAAAAATGTGAATCATTGTCGATAACAAACAATTATGCAAAGTTTCATGCAAATCGGAGAAGGTCGAGAGTCATCATTTTGCAGGGAACTGCTCTATGGTTATCCTTCACAAATTGGTGCACAGTGTCTCTGGTAGAATAACATAATAATAAAAAAAAAATCAGTATCGCTGAAACACTCACCACCAATAGTCGAAATCTTAGGTGCCCCTCTTTCATTTGGGGCTAGTTTCAAAATGTTCTTTTATTTTTCTGAATTCATTTATTTATCAAGGCTCAAATGCGGACGCTTTATGGAGCCGAAATTCATTTTACTTTTTACAACGTTTCTTAACACTAGAGTTAGAATAAGAGGTGTCCAAATACTCGTGGCTTACTCTAAGTTGTGGGCAACAATCTATTAACAGATAGGGAAGGGATCAAGGAAAAGATACACAAGGTTGCGATTGATATGTTTATCTCCACCGCCGCTGAATGGCTGTTTTTAAACGATTGATAGTGATAGACTGAGCTCTTGATTTCTCTCGAGATGAGTGATGGTTGCTTATAACTGTAATGAAACATAAAAAGATGGGCTTGGGAAGGGACAACGATGAGAGAACAGATATTAAAATTGATACACGAACAGACAAAATTCTACCAACTCTCAAACGTTAGTAATTTTAAACGTCAAAGTTGATGATCGACGAAAGCAAGACGAAAGAAGCTAGTTGCTTCAAAAGAGTTTTCAACATTAAAATCATCAAAACAAAATGTTTCTCATGGAGTCATACACATTCAATATTTTGAGAATGCCATCCACAATTCCAGAAAACGTGAACATGGCTTCATGTTGTCCTGGCTTTGGAACTGGAACATCTGGAGTCTTGGAAGGACCTGGAAGTCACGGAAAGTCCCTATCAAAATCAAATGTTTTGCAACCCGGTGAAGGGGCTTTCGGAACATTACCACTGCTTCCTGGTTTCTTCAAAATGACGAGGGGCCTCGATTCAAAATGTTCTATCGATTGTGATTTTTCCATAATTTTTTTAAGCTTTAATGAGCTTAATCATGTTTGGGCGTGATTTACACTAAGGGCAATACGAAAAAATAAACATTTATCGAGAACATTTTTGTACAAGTCTCATGTGAGAGGGGCGAGCCTAAGCCTTCGTTTGGTGGGTGTTTCAGCGATACTTTTCTTCTAGAGACACCGTAGGTGAACTGTGGATTTGCCATTGTTTATAACCTATTTCAATTAAAAATATTTCATCCATTTTAATGCAATTGCATAAGCACATTCAGTTAATCGACGCTTCAAGGGAAAACAGCTTAAAATCACGATATGTTAAGAAACCCTCCATGAATGATTTTGATTTTCACAGAGAATACGTAGAATGACCAACTCTATCGACTGGAATACACGTAATTGATGAACATTTATTGTCGATAATAACGATCACAGGGACACAGTGGTACCTATATCGAAGAGTTAAGCTAACCTAAATGTACCATCATTCTGATAATGTATAATATTTTCGCAAGATTAACAGCAAAGCAATGCGTTCCCTGAACTGATCCCAAATACCATTTCATAAGTAATACAAAGCAAGAAGCACGACAGGACACATTATACTACAAGGCAGAAAGTATGCTAGCTATTAGCACGAAAGAGATTAGAATCCAACAACACGATTACGTTAAAAGCTTGATCTAAATCTACAGAATCACTAACTGGCTAGCCAGACGAAAACAAGCATCGACTCCTTTTGTGCCGCACAAGCAGTTTACAGTTTTGAAGTAAAGTTTTTAGTTGAGATAAAGTTATAGACGCAGTTGTAAAAGAGGCATTCAGTATCGTGGAAGTTGTGGTCATAGAGGTATGGTGTCCTTACCTAAAGAAAAAAGATACACAGCGCTTGCAAAGTGCATCATACCGAGCTTGTGTATCAATTTTGCTAGGTTGGTGTTGACTATGGATTTTTTTAGTTAATAAGTTCAAATGATTGAGCAATAGCCAATAAGTTGATTTAATTTTGATAGAGAATATCGTAGAACCAATTATCAGTCGCATACAAGAGAAGATAATTTTAATAAAATTTTGTTGTAGGTGAATTTTGTTCCTATCGTATTCCGTCAGTTCAAATTCCAGTTCCTTAAGTTTCAAAAGAAGGTTGAAAATAGTCACAGACAGAAAGAGAGAAAGAGTTTCAGACGATCACAGTTAGAAGCAGCTGAACAGGTACACTTGACTGCGTTGCGCTCTTCAGAAGTGATAGAGATTGACAGATAGACGTCTTTTAGTGGTCCATGGTGCTCGGTCGGATTCTTCGGCTATTATAAAGTGCGATTGCATTATGATTTGTGTTGTTATAGCTGGCGCGAGTGTGTATGAGTGATACGTGTACGCGTGTGTTTGTGTGTGCATTTAAGTGAGTTCGTGTGCGCGTGTCGAACAGAGACAGAATTAAGAAGACAGAGATAGCTTTTATGCGAAGTACATACTATGCGGCACATAGAGTCGCATACAGCAACTAACTGTCACTCGTAACATGCAAGGATCCTCACCGATGGGTCTCCACGAACCCCTTCGGTATGGTTTGGGGATCTGTCCGGTTTCGGCATGGTTCGCCAGGTTGGCCACAATGTCCTCGAGCATCTGCGAGCGGGTTCGTTCCTGCATCCGGGCAAACTTCGGTGCCGAGTAGGAGGCCCGCTCGCCGTTGACGACCTTTGTCAGCAGCCATTCCCTATTTTATTGGTTTTCAAATGGAAGCATGAGTTATACGAAGACAGAAACCAAACCTTGGTTGGGTTTGAAAGGAAAAGAAAAATACCAGCTAGCGCCACTTACCGAAACATCGGACCCTTTTCGAACACCGACTGTTCCCAGAGGTACGGTTTGTAGGCACCAACTTCATCCCTCGTGACGACCGAAACCTCGTAGCGCGTCGGTTTCCGCTTGATTCGGGCCGATACTCGAACCTGTAATGAGATGATTGTCTAGATTATTTTCCAGAAAGAAACCACAGATTGTATATGCTTAAAGTGAACTCGAGTTCTGTAGGTTTTTAAAGGTCAAACTAAATAACTAAATTGATGTTAAAGTAGATAACCATTAGACTTAAAAAAAAGCTAGTTGAGATAAATCCCACATAAAATAGTCGGGGTGAAATTAATTTTGAATTTTATCCTTGTTTTCTGAAACCGAAACCAGCATCTGGTTTTCGTTTGGCCCGTTTTCCCGGGTGCAAAAAAAATTCACTTCGTTAAGACTCCCATAGCTTTTATGTTATGATGGTGTCATTTTCGGTTGGTCCACTTTCGAGGGAAATTTAGGAGACAACGAACGCTGCAGGCATCAGCGCTTTTACCGCCTACGAATCGGCCTCTAAAGTCTAGTTTATTGCAATGTAGCCTGGCACTCGTCGTCGTCGTCGTCGTCTACTACTGATGGAACGCGATACGGGTCGTTTCCAATGCCATGACACCAGTTTGATGCTGTGGAATGGGTTTTTCCTTTATCAAAATTTGTCTGCAGCAGCCCAGCAGTGTAGAAAAAGTGGAACAGTAGGTATTAGGTGGAAGATGGAATTTCTCGTTGGTTAAATTTGAAGGTTTTTTGCAACACACATACGACCGACACATCCATTATTGGTTGAGAGCGGTGTTGGTGTTTAATGACGAGGAGTTGCATAATAACAAAATGGGATCCTCCGATAGCCTAGTCAGCAAAGGCACGACCAAGCCGGAGGTGGTGGGTTCAGTTCCCGGTTCGGTCGACAAAATCTTTCAGGTTGGTCAAAGCTTGCGTTCACAGGAATGTACCATTCTTACTCATTCTACCCTCTGCACAAACCAACACATCCATTAAGTAGAGGAACTCTTCCCCTACTCGATAGTGTTGTCGATTTGCCAGGAAGAGCCATGATGAAATGATCAGCTGTTGAAAGTTTTCGGATTAACAAATCGCGTCATAAATGCACGAAGAACTTGAACAATTTTAGTGTCAATTTTTAAGATAGGGGGAATGTTCTAATGTTGCCCAATGGGTCTAAAAATTGGACCTATCGATAAAAATCTGCTGTTAGAACAATTCAAATTGGTATTTTAGGCTATTTGTGAAAAACTATCAAAAAATGAAGTCCTTCGTAATTTATGTATGGGCCCATTAGCGACTTTAACCTACATTCTTTTAAATGGATCAGTTTACCTCATTTTTTATGTGGTCCAACGTTTCTGAAATGTGGTCGGAATAAGTACAGGATGAGTTTGGTCGGTATCACAAACTAGCTCAAAATTCTATCACACCATCATGCAACAGATGAAACCACATGAGAATAAGAATAAAAGGTCAATGATGGTCATGTCAAGTATCCCAAATTGGAATGCTTGCTCCTTGAAGAGCAAAAACTACGAGTTTGTTGACTTTCTCAACGAACGGCGCATCGACATAGCCGTTATCACCGAGACTCACTTGAAGCCCGAGCTGAACGGCTTCCTTCCCGACTTTCAGCTCGTAAGACGTGACCCCACAGCTCCGGGGGAGGGGGAGTGGCCATCGCTGCTGGACGGAACATCAGCTGCCGGCTACTACCAAGCTTCCAGCTGAAAACTATCGAAGCCATCGGAGTTGAGGTGAGCACATCGCTTGGTCCAATAACCATCATTGCGGTCTACTGCTTCATGCAGACCAACATTAGGGACGGCTCGGCCGCAGACCTCTGAAGAAACATCATCAAGCTAACACGACGGCGACAAAATTTCATCATCGCTGGCGACCTGAACGCCAAGCATCAAGCCTGAGGCAATAGTCGGCGAAACCAGAACGGCAAAATCTTGTACAAAGATCTGCAGGAAGCCCACTACAACATCCTGTGTTCGGACACTCCCACCCGGTTGAGTCGATCCGGAGCTCATGCCACCATCGACATCTTCATCAGAAACATTGGCGATAACATCTCTCAACCTATCGACTATCAGGAACTGAGCTCGGACCACTATCCGGTGGTGGCCGAAGTAGGTTCCTCGGCCAATAGGTTTCAAGTTTCCCGGCGAAATTACCATCGTGTCAACTGGCAGCACTACCAGCGCTGTGTGGACACAGTAATCAACTACGACGTCCTACACACTTAGAAAAATTCATGTAAATTTAGGTGCTCTAAGACTGACATATACGAGCGTCAATTTTGACATAAAATTGAGTTATACTAGAGTCTAGTCTAGTCTAATCTACACATACACAGCCAGTACTTGAAAGAACATAAAATTGAGTTATACTAGACGCGAAATTCAGCTCAATCAAACGTACTTTTCGTCGAGTAACGAACTTTTCAGTCTCGGAGCACTTAATTTTACATAACATGTTTGTTTACGTCTCATCCTTTATGTCAAAGATGGATTCCGTCACGTGTAAAATGAGGTATTTTTAAGTGTGTACCGGAGTCGTTCGAAGAAGTCGATTGGTGTCTGCAAACCAACGAAGAGGCGATATCCCGTGCTAGAGAGCAACACGTACCAGCATCCAGACAGGTGAGTCATACTCTGAACCTTGACAGCTCAACCAAAGATCTTATCAGGCTCCGTAACACTATTTGTAGGCAGTTCCTGCGTTCTGGGCTGCCCTATTAGAAGACCAATATCAATGATGGTGGATCTCAGAAGATTTTGCCAACAAGATTCGCTCTCTCCCAGATTGTGCAAAACCATTTTGGAAGATGACCAAAATTTTGAAAAATAAGTTGAGACCGATTCCTCCACTTGTCTCTGTTGACAAGAACTCGGACCCATCTCTACTCATAACCCCAGTTGAAAAGCCCAATGCTCTTGGCCAACATTTTGTGATTTCACATAATCTTGGCCGAACCATGATGAGCCCCCATGAGCCTGCCGCACTGGAGGCAATGTCTAGAGTCGCTGACACTCCCGTAGTAGTGCATGATGATAGTAGAATATCGGCTGATGAGGTGATAGCAGTTATTAGAAGCACTAAAAACATGAAGGCTGCTTGTATGGATGGTGTAGTCAACCTCGAGTTGAAAAACTTGAGTATTGACTTCTTCAACCATCTTGCCGTTATCTTCAACAAATGTTTGGAGATTCGCTACTTCCCTGCAGGCTGGAAGTTAGCCAAAGTGATTCCAATACACAAGCCTGGCAAAGATCCTACCAGTGCCAAAAGCTATCACCCCATCAGCCTCTTGTCCTCCATCTCGAAGCTATTCGAAAAGTTGATATTCAGCCGCCTGTTGGTGTTTTCAAATGATAATAACTTCTTACTCAAAGAACAATTCGGGTTTAGGAACGGCCACATTACCATCCACCAGCACTCGCACGGGTTACTAACATCATCAAGCGGAATAAGTCCGTTTCCAATACATCTGACATGGCATTGTTGGACGTCGAGAAGGATTTCGACAATGTCTGGCATGATGGTCTAGTGTACAAGCTGCATCGATACAACTTTCCAATCTACCTCGTGAAGATCATCAAAAACTACTTGTCGGGCAGATCATTCCTGGTCTACTTGAACAATGTCCCCTCTGATACATTCAACGTTGATGCAAGGGTCCCTCAGGGTAGTCTGCTCGGGCCTATCCTATTCAACATCTTCACGTCAGACGTTCGTCCCCTGCCGGGTGGTGGTATCCTGTCTATGTTCGTAGATGACACCTCCATCATCTATAAGGGTCGAGTGATCCGTGCTCTGGTGAGTAAACTACAATCAGGCCTGGATGTTCTGTCCGACTATTTCAAGAGCTGGAAGATTTGTATCAATGCAGCTAAAACACAAACCATTATGTTTCCACACTCGAATTCACCTCGGCTTGTTCCGCCTGCTAACGTCAAGATCCATCTTGATAGCACTCCCTTGGTCCAATGGTCGAGTGAACTAGTCTACCTCGGTCTCACCCTCGATAGCAAATTGCTTTTCCGATCTCATGTAGACAAGACATCCACCAAGTGTAACATCTTGATCAGGTCGCTCTACCCTCTGATAAACAGGAAGTCCACCCTGTCCCTAAAAAACAAGCTTGCTGTCCACAAGCAGATCATTCTGCCGGCTATTGAGTATGGTATGCCAATCTGGGAGAGTTGCGCTAAGTGCCACCACCTAAAGCTTCAGAGGATCCAAAAAGAGATCCTCAGAATGATCCTTAACAGTCCACCGCGAACTAGTAATTCTGAGATTCACCACCTGGCCGGTCTTCAAACACTCGAGGAGCGAAAGACCTCCACGCTGGAAAGGTTCAGAGTTGCCTGTCTGCGATCAAACCACCAGATCATTCGTTATTTGGCAACCTAGTTTAAGTAGTTAGGTAGGTTCCTGTGCTCAAGTAGGTAGGTTATCAAATTTTTGACGTAGGACTACGTCTGTGATTTCTATATGGGGGTACACTTTGTGAAAACCAAAAACGGAACATTTAACGAAATTATGAAAGATTTTGAACGTTAATAACTCAGCTGCTCCTGGACCAATGTCAATAACTTTATCGCCAATCGATCAGATTTATTTCTACGCACCGATAGCAATGCACTATTGAACTATTGAAAAAGTGGTAAATGTCCAGTATTTTCCAAAAGCATCGAAATAACTAACAAATCCATCAATTACGTACATGCATATGCTGCTTCCCCAACAAAGTTATCAGAGAATCGTTTCTAGACGAAACAAGTTGAACTGGCATACGCCATCGATCTTCGGGCGTGTGCGAATAGGGAGGCTGCAATTGCGTAACATTTGGCACACTCATCGCCATATTTAGAACCACACGCCCCAAACGACCACACAAAATGCTCTCCAGAGTTGTAATCTTGTAACCAAACTTGGAAGCAGGGGTGCAAGTGATTTTGACCGATTCTCTTCATCGAATTTCTGTTTCGTTAATAACTCGACGGCAAACACATTGATACGCTTGTTGTTCTGGATGATAGAGGAGAATAGCAGAAATAGTGCGAAATCGATGAAGACTTTCACCCCTCTG